GACTGTGTGTAACGTCTGCCACGTGTGACCTTTTTACTGTATTGATGGATGCAGGATGCTGCGCTCAGAGCAGCCATCAGCTCCTACCAGTAGCCTGATGCAGCATATGTTGAACCAGACGCAACTCAAAGACACAACACCAGTCCAACAACACACATACACACACTCACACACACAGTCAAAATCATTTCCTCGACAGGGTAAATCTAATTCACTCCATATTGTTTAGCAAAGTCGCTGAGCCGTGGTGACATTTGGCCGATGCTTTCATTCAGAGAGAGCAGGGCTCTGTTTGACTCCACTCAGCTGTTATGGAAATTGAATCTGTGTTACATAACAGGACATTAAGCTGAGTCCTTCACCTTTGGTTATTCACCACATTCACATAGGATGTCCTTTATCACCTACACTGTCATGATTTTCATGGATTTTATTGTCAGTATTCATATTGGAAATTACATATTTGCTTTTATCATTATTTTAGGTGCAGTGATTTAATCCATAGTTTCTGGTCATCTATCAAAAAAATGAAATAAAATAAAATCGGCAAATGATGCATTGGTCTCTACCAAATTTTTTTGGTTTTTTGAAGGATGTAAATGCTTGGAGAGGCTGAACATTCTGAAGCAGACGTGATGATGTTGTGAAGTAGTGTGGGATCATGGGAGTTGTCGTCTTCATTGTTAAACATCCACCATTGCAGGTGAAAGTCTATCTGACGTTACTTAGGCAGGAATCATGTTCATGGACGAGGTAATGTGTTACAGTTTTATTCAGGTTATGACATCAAATTTTGATGAAATTGCCTCAAGTAATGTTCTCTAACTTAACAGATTTCTCTGGATGTAAACATTGTTAGAACACGTGGCTCAGGGGATAGAGTGGTCCTCTTTGAATCAGAGGGTTGGTGGTTTGATCCCTACGTGTTGAATTGCCCTTAGAGAAGATACTGAACCCTAAATTGCTTGTGAGTGTGTGTGAATGTTTATGTGCAGGCGGCCCCTTCTGTGGTAGCCTCAGACACCAGTGTTTGGGTTTAAGGGTTGGCCTGGTGTAAACATCTTCAGTTTTTGATTTTAAGCCAAACTCTGGACTGGACTGGTATTCTGTATCTTACCAGGTGTCGCGATTGACTAAATATGTGCTTCTATAATGTCATGTAAACAAACCACATAGCTATCAGCTGTGTGCTTGAGATCAGACTGAAGACATAACCACTGACAAGACAGGTGACTAGCCTACTTGTTGTCTTCCTGCATTTGTTACATTCCTTTTTAAAACAGAAAATGCATGTTTTATATTGTGATATTTACAGGAGATGACATACAATATTGCCAGCAAGTAGCCTAGCTTGTTATTAACGATGGTCATTTACCAGAAACTTTCAGTGGCGAACTCCCTCCAGCCAGCTACTGCCTTATTTCCGTTTTTGTAGGGAAATAAGGAGATATCCTAGAAAATTCCTCATTTCAACTTCACGAATCAGACATTCCTTGTCCATTGCAGCACTTATAAAGAGGGCGTCTTACAAAAGTCCAGCTCAAAATGGCATACCGTGTCGCTTGGAGCCACTTAGGACACCAAATCTAAAATGTCGCCATATTAGGGCAGTTTTAGTTGTCTTGAGAGGCTAAATCTGCCATGTCTCCTCTAGTCACCCCAAAAAACACTTGAACTTTCTAGTAAACGAACACAATGTGCGCCGCGCGTCCCCCCTTCCACCTCTACTGAAATTTGATCTCCTCCATGTTGCCAACACTGGTGTTGGCTTGACAGTAGATTGCATACGGCTTATTCGTCCCTTCATAAGCAAATATAATAATATGTTTATCATTTGTATTACTAATGCATTACAAGTTGAATTCAGCTCCATTATGTCACTGGCACAGATTGCTGATAGACTACTACTACCGGTTTTAGCTTGTACACCGGATTGCACTGGCAAAACCAGAAATTGATCCAGCTCTTATGAATGCCTGTCTGAATGGTTTTTGTTTTGTAAAATGCTTGGAGTGGTTGCCAAGACGAGAAATGCACTATATAAACGCAGTCCATTTACCAGTTGCGATACGGAAGTGTAGTTGTTTTTAGAAATTTGATGTGGAAATGTTAAATGTTATGCCTTTTCAAAGGAGTAGTTTAACATTTTGAGAAAGATGAATATGAAGCTACAGCCAGCTGGTTAACTTAGCATAAGGGCAAGAAATAAGGGGAAACCTGGCTCTGTGTGAATGTAACAACATCCCACTACCTGCACATTTAAAGCTCACTATTTGGTATGATATATCTCATTTTGTAATCTGTGAAAAAAAAAAAGTGTAGAGAGGTCATACTGTGGTTACAATTTTTTGGTCGGGTGTACTGAGAACTTTTTAGCATTGACTTTCATGTTTTGTTTAGTTTTTCCTGTAATTGCAAACTAGTCTGTGTTTTACTGCTCATTTCTCTTGCCCACTTGTTACGGCAAATCAAGCTCATCCAAGTTCACTTGAGGAGTTTTTCGGAGAATACTATGTGACCTGCGGCTGGCTGGTTGGACTGAAAATCTCTGCAGATTGCTGCTGCCGCTGCTGTGGCTTTTTCCCACACAGATAGTAGGTTATTAACGGTGGCTGTATTCCTGGAATTTACCCCACTGTACAGAACAGTACAGCTAATCCTCATAAAAGGAAGATAGAGGGGGGGAAATGCAGGGAGAGAAGGGGGGTTAGGGAAGGGGGGGGATTCAGAGGTAAAGGGGGAATAGGAGGGAGAAAGGAGGGAACTTAGTGTAGGGAATGGGGGGCAAGAAGAGCCAGGAAGGAAACAGCAGGAGACACAGGGAATCATTAAAAATTGAAACACAGAAAGAGGTACAGGAGTAAAGGTGGGTTGTGAAGTGGCTTCATTCATCAAGCAGGTTGGTTTCTATCATTTTCTTTAACAGTGATGAGACACAATGCAGTGTATTGTAAATTTCCTCATTTATTAAATTATTAAACAATTTTTTTTTTTATCTTTGTAGCTGCACTGAAACTACTTAACATTGAATTGCTGCAGTCACAATGCCTGAAATGCCATGGGTGGTGTACAATGAGTCACACTTGGGTTGAACACTTCCTCCTGTCAAACAGTCACGTATCCAAAACCCTCCCATCTGCTACTGCAAACACAATAACTCAAATACTAACAACACAATGGGCTCTTGGGAAGTGAACGTATTTCAGTAACCATTATATTAAATACAGCCATGCATACTGGAGCTCTGATGGATCATATACTATCTGTACGATTCTGTGAGAGGATAGAGTGAGGGTGGAATATAAAGGTGTTTAAAATGTCCTGAGCACGGAGGAGAGTGCTGACAGCACAGAGAGGTGAAGGGAGGATACAGAAGGTTATCACCCGGAGGTCAAAACCCACGGGTGTTGTGTAACTAGATTTACAACAAAACCGTTTGCTGGAATGTGACCTGCATCCTGATATGGTGATGCTGCCAAATCTCTCCCTGCATCTTTCTGCCTTGCAAACACTACATTATTATAATGCTCACACCTGCAGTCTCAGCCATACAAACATGTCTCTGTAACCTTTGTTATCCAAGATGCTTTCTCATATATCTAAATGAAAGTTCAAGTTCAGTCCGGCCAGAACATGAGACCCTGATGAGCAGCATGTCAGTGTGTCCGCAAAAAATCTTTAAAGGTCAATGACCTCGATGACAATGACCTTGGCAGTCTGCACGCCACGTCTTTTATTTATGAACAGAAATAAAAAGGTGCTCAACCACATATTACATTTTACTATCGGACATGTAAATATTTTATTTATTTATGTTTTTTTTTTTTACCTGTTTGAAATGAAAAGAAAAAATCAAATTCACTCAAACAACACAAGTAACTAAAGCCCCTTACTCATGTAGTCACTGTTTCTAAATGTAGTAAATGATGAATTTGCCTCTGAAAAAATAGAAAGTCTACATAAACAATTACTCAGGGAAAGTACTAAAACTAAAATTCTTCTTAAATACAGCACTGGAACTAATACAAACTAATCCCTCGATAGAAGTGATGTAGACTAAAAAGATCCTGTAACCACATTTTGGTTGCTTAACAGTAAAAAAAAATATTTTTTATAATATTTTTGCAAATATTATTGCTTGAAATCTTTACAAAAACAGCAGGATATCAACACACCTTTGCTGCACTGCAGACTTTTATTCTTGTCCTCTACCAATAGTCACTAGTGGTTTCTTTTAACCATGACTATGATTTTCGATCACCTTAACCAAGTACTTTCATTGCCGAAACCTAATCAAACCTTAACCATAGCAACGGCAAATCAAACCATTTCATCATTTAAATTGGAGGACTTGAAATGTCTCCATACTTAAGACTTTAAATTTATTTTGTTTAAAAAAAAAAACCCTGAACATTAGGAAAACCTGAAATCAGAAATTTGGCAAAATAAAATTTTCTCTTCTGATTTCTTTTGGAATACTGATTTATTTATATTTGATGCATTTGTTCCTTATTCATACTCTTCATTTATCAACTTTATTCTAAAAAATGAAATTGTTTTAAAACATTTTCAAGGCTTTCTGCATCCTCCTTATATATTGTCCTGGTTTGTCTTGGAGCCCAGATGATGAATCTGGAAAGAAAGAGGTTACCTAACCTCTTGATTTGACCGTCTGGGAACATTACAACCTGGTGTTACATGTCAGCAGTAGATGCTACCTAGACAGGAACAGGAGAATCTGTTTTATTTCTAGAGGCCTCATTTCATCTGATCATTATGCCAGAAATATGACTTTGGCTGTTACATCCTGAGACGCCAGTCTGGACAGAGATGTTATGTAAGCCCAGTGTGTGTATATAGAAAGTCATACACACATTTAAAATGGGACTTAGGTAATAGTGCAACAATGTCATTGGTGCATTTCTACTGGTTATCTTATCTAAGTTTTTCTAAGTTCTTTTAAAGTGCAACCTTTTCAAAATAAAGGCAGATGGAGAAAATTCTTTGTTTCACATTTTTATTGTTCATCATAGTGAAACAGCATCACTGATACAAAAAAACATCCCCTTTGTTTGGGTAAAATTACAAATCTGAATGTTCGGCCTGATCCACAGGAAGCAGACACTGTGAACAGCAGAAACATTGAGCCAGTGCTTCTCCGCGGCTAGAGGTCCATAGAAAAATAAGGCAGGTTCTGTACAACTCCTTTCTAAACACTGTCAAAATTAGCTGGGGACTTGTCTGCTTTTACATATCCACGAGACAACTTCTCATCTAGGCCTGCACAATATACAACAGCATTGTACAACTTGGCTCAATCATGCAAAACAAGTGAAGAGATATGAAGTTGTCCAAAAAGTGAGAAGAAATATTAATCCAGCCCAAATACCTGAGATACTAAAGGGGGTAGAGGTGTGGTGTTGGGAGCATTCTATTAAAAACCTGCCGCTTTTCGCCCTCTGCACAATTTGCCATTCAAAAAGACAAAAGCCAACCTGAGGAAGAGACGAAGCTGTAGACTGGCAGAGTAGCCACTGACGGCAGGAGGCTAATGAAGTTACAACCAAACATTCGTGAAGAAATTAAGAGCGGGTGAGCCAGATTTTCAACAGAGAACAATCCATTATTGAACATTCATAGCGGGTACTGAAGGGGCTGCATAGACCCTACAGTCATGAAGCTAGCTGACTTTATCAGGCCGTGGAAAGCTTCAGTTCAAGTAATGTCATGGAAATAAAACCTCCCCAGAGGTGGGTATGAAAAGGTTTTCTTTATGACAGCAGGGATCTAAATTATAAGCCACAGTAAGGTATAAACTACAACTGTGTACGATTGTCCTGTTAGAGGTTCAAGAACTGGCAAACTTGGAAGGTTCTTGTGCGTTTTGTTATCCTGTGGTAGAGGTGTACAGCTACATGTTAGCTTAGGTATATCGCTACATGTTAGCATATGTGCTATGCCATGTGATAAATGGCAGAAGAGCCTTGAGCTGTAAGAACCTTCCTGTAGTGTGGTCACGAAATACTTCGGATGATCTTTTCTTGCTTCTGTTAAGTGTTACAGCACTGTTTTCTGAAAAGCACATTCAACATCAATACTGCTTACTTCTGGCTTTAATTTCAACCCAGTGTTGGTCAGCAGAACCCAATTAGCTAGAAACTTGTTGCCTCGTTTCTGAGACTCTGGGAAAACCGTGTTACAAAGTAGGCCATTGATTAATTCATCCTGATATGATGAGTTAACATTAAAACATGAAAATGGATATATAGAGAGCAAATTTTCTACAAATATACAAGCTTGAAATAAAGGAAAAAAAACCTACTGTCATACAGCAAGAGAAAAAAAAAAGATCTAATACACGATATAATATTTATATATATATATACTAAAACAAACACTGGATTGCAGAAGTCTTGTAAGGCAGAATCCCCCAACAACCCAGTCACAGACAATGTGTGTCAGTGTACCATAAAATAAAGATTATTTACAGAGCATATACAATTGTCCAAAAAGACCATGTTGTAATCCAAAAACATGCACATAATACACTATTTCATTTGAAATATCAATTTGTTTCATGTACATAGATCCGCAAAGGATCTATAAATGTTGTCCACTTTGGCTGGATGTGTTCGTGACACGTAACAGCTTCGGAGAAGAGGTGAAATGAGGTTTGGGTGTTGTTGTCAATGATTCTACCAAAGGCACCGGTATAAGCCAATTATAACATGTACAATCCAAAGGCACCATTTCAAAGAATATTCCTGTCAGGAGTTTAATCAGATTATTGACTGAGTGTGTAACTACAGAGCGAAACTATGTTACTACCTGATAATCAATCCACTGAGATTAATAAATGAACTATCTTGTCAATCAAGCAGATGAAGTGACCCAAACACACTAGTACAGTAAAACTAAACATATTTTTTGGTGAACTTTGATCGTTTATAGGCAGAATTTTTAGGATTTTAGTTAAATACATGATTGAGCTTGGTTAACAGTCTTAGACTTTTTAAATGGGTCACATTCTCTGCAAGTTAATGTATCAATATTTACGCTAGCTCCTACGTTACAGCAAGTGTCATGATGTGTGTGATACTGTTTATCATCCAGCTTCTCCCAAATCTCTACTCTTAAAAGGAAAACTTTGAATTTTTTTTTGAAAAATAAAACCTATTTGCTGCTGGCGAGACCACTTCCATGTCTGTATGCTAAAGATGAAGCTAGCATCAGGAGACTGTTAACTAAACTTAGCACAGAGAAGCAGCTAGCCTTGCTCAGTTCAAAGTTAAAATCTGCTAACTAGCAACTATAAATCTTTTCAGTTGAAACATTATATCTCTTAAGTTGACTTTGGAAACCAAAATGTAAAAACGTCAAGTTGTGGTTCTATGAGGATTTAGCCGTCAGTTTTCCTTTATCTTTAGTCTTTATGCCAGGCTAATAGCCTGCTGGCTGTTACGTTAGCTTCATATTTAGCATTAAAATGGCAAGGAAGTGAATAAGAATGTTTTCCAAAATGTCAAACTTCTTTTAAGCTGAATAGCAAATAATCAAGTTGAAAAATAGAACTAAGGCCATTCCGAAATTACCTTTTGAGGAAAATGTGGGTTTTCTAACAGTGTTGGTGAGAATAATTTGGCACAAGTTGAAAATATATGACAACCTTAATATCTTAAATTTCTAAACTCATTTTAAAATGGATTATTTCATGTTTGGCTCTTTTGGTTGAATTGTTTTTCCTTGCGCAGTTGCAACTGCATATTTTAAACTGTTTTTCATACACATTTTTGTCAAGTATCTATAAAAATAACAACAAATGGTTTTAAATACACCTAGCTGTCCAGTCGCTATTAAAGAGCCTAGTAAATTACTCCAGCAGGTGTATGTACTGCATGTTGGAAATAATCACTTAGCTTCATACAACCTAAATGGTATGAAGCAAAGTATGATATTTTGTACAACACTCTTTTTTTTCAGTAGACACACTTAGTTATGTAAAATGATACCTTGCATGTTCAGATCCCTCTGTGACAGTAATACTGGAAGCACCTTCTTGCTTCGTATACACAGCCAGGATAAAAACAGCCGGCAAGGAAGACCCTTAAGAGTGTGCATGAACCTGATTGACTTAAAAACTTTATGTGCATGTAGACTTTGGCGAGGCTTCTGATTGTTACCATGTAGCTGAGCAGCATTTTTCCTGAATAAAAGTTCTACGTAGTTGAATTAAATTTTTGATGAACCGCTGTTTTGAGACGAGTCGACTGCCTGGTTAATTTCAGGAATTTTTCATGGATAGTCGCTTGAAAATACAGGTGTAGATGTGTTTTACTATGTCTACGTGTGTGTATGTGTGTGTGTGTGTGTGTTAGCTCTATACACAAAGTCAAAAGTAATGCTAGAAGTGCTCCTTGTTTCATAGAGGATGACACACTCCCCCTCCAAATGTCTCCTTCAAGTGCACAGAGAACTGAGGGACTTGCATCGTCTTTCCAGCCCTGCAAATCGCAGTTCACATATCTGCTGCAGGCGAGGGCTGCGCAGTATGTTCCGTCTCTTCATAGCTGGAAATAATAAGGAAGATGACGATGATTTCAGGCTGTCTTGGTGGCACATTTAACCAGAGTCTGTTTTCCCCTCTCCAAGTTTTGATTCTCTCGTGTCACATCCAGAGCAAAAAAAGAAAGAACGAAAGAAAGAAATCAAACAAAAAAATCCCCCTCCATTGATATTCTCTGGGGGGGTGAACTGAAGATGTCTGAACCAGGTGCAGCACATTATGCCCGTATGCTGAGGTTATCTGATTGATATTTGTGATTTCATTGAGGGGAGGGAACCGTAGATGAACCCTGCTCCCAAATGCTGGACCAGCAGAGACAAACCAGAAGAGACATGGTGGGATGGGGTGGGGGGTGGCTGTAGAGGTGGTTCGCTGCACTCGTAAATGTGAATCTGAGGATGGAAGAGGGGGCTTAGTGACCACTGCTGGAGCCCGGGGGGTTGTGGACCCAGTCGAGGGCGATGAGTGACAAGCTGCCAATCATGAAGATGATTCCCACGACTAGGAAGATGAACGCCTGAAGAGAGACAGACGTAAAGAAACACAGAGGAGGGATTAGATGTAGTTAAATGTGTGGTGATGCACAGTGGGGGTCTGTTGGAATTTCTAACAAGTCACGTTTTGAAAATGTTATCTGCCCCTTGGGGGATAGAGTGAGAAAAATGATACAGTGAGAAAGACGTTGATAGAGTGAGCCTGTGTGTGTGTGTGTGTGTGTTTCTGCACACTTACCCCGATCTTCTGTGGGGAGCGGAATGGGAGAGATTTTACCAAGCGGAGGTAAAAGGCAGCAGGTAGGATAAAGATGAGCATAGTGGCCGCAGAGGAACCTGTGATAAAACCAGGAAGATTAATTCAGCAGTTTTCAGACAGTTGCAATATTTTAGCTACAGATAAGATACAACTTTTTTATGTGTATATTTTATGTGTACAAGCAAAAAATATATGTAAAACCCTGCCATCACCAATTCTAAATTAATAATTTGAAAGAATGCCGCTTAATGTCAGGGAGACTTGTGTACTTTTCAGTGTTTGTGTGTGTTGGCAGCAAGAACGTGAGTGTTTAGATCCGGAGGTCACAAACAGCTCACGCGACTGCACAGCTGACTCGACCCGACACCTTAAGCTTCTGTTCTTCCAGCGTCTTTACTCAATAAAACAACCCCTGATCTGAAGGTGCTAATCAGGCCTCGACTGCCTGACGCCCTGTTTTATTAACTCATACTTGTCCATGTTGTGGGTTTTTTGTGTTCCAAGTTTTTGTCTTTAAACCAAATCTTCCTCAAGAACATTTGAGGAAGCAGAACTGCTACACAGATGCTTTCCTGTGCGCCAGTGTGTCTGGAGGCAGGACTCACCAATGAAGCCGAAGATGTCCCTGATGGTGGGGACGAAGATGACCAGCATGTTGTTGAATGCCAAGATGGAGGCGGCAATCAGCATGTGGCGAGTCCAGCTGAACTCTCGACCGCTGAACAGCAGCGTGGTGATGGAGGAGCGGATCTGGACCAAAAAAAAAAAAAAAAAAAAAACACCAAGTATTGACATTTAAGTCTTTGGTTTGATTATTGTTCATTAATATTAAAGTTGTATAAAGTTCTCCATCAACTGAGCGATGACAGAGGAATGTGTAAGAATCACACAGCATTTTTTGTTAACTTTATCTGTATCAGTTTGGTTTACCCCAACTTTAAAAAAGTTAGGATGCTATGTATAACAAAATAAAAACAGAATGAATGATTTGCTTATCTGTTTTTTTAACCTAAATCTAATTGAATACAGTAGAAGGACAAAACAAGAGTTATCTGAGATGGGCTGACTCAAAGTAAAAGTGAAAGAGAAGGAGTGTGCACATGTCAAATTGTTAATGGAAAGCATGTACATCATGTTCTTCTGGCTTAAGAGGAAAAGGACCATCCATATTGTTACCGGATGGGGGGGTGTCTTTCTCAGGAAAGTCGCTGCTTATTCCAGTAAGACATGAGACACATTCTGCACGTGTTACAACAGTGTGGCCTCAGAGTAAAAGAGTGTGGGTACTAGATTGTCCTCCCTGCAGTTCACACTTGTCTCCCATCGAAACTATGTCATGTTTAGCAACTGAAGTTGTATATGATGCAAGAATGTGAGAGGATTTCACTTTCAAAATTTCAACAGTTAGTGCCCTCAGTTCCCAAACACTCACTCAGTGTTGTTGGAAGAAAAGATGATGTGACAAAGTGATAAACATGCACCTGTCCCAACTTTGTTGGAACACGTTGCAGGTATCAGAATGAGTGTATACTTTATATAAAAACAAACCAACAAAAAAACCCAGAACCAATACAGTTGATCAGTTTAAACATCACATATCTTGTCTCTGTATTGTATTCAATCGACTTTAGGTTAAAGAAGATTTGCAATTCATTGCATTTGGTTTTTATTGAAGTGTTACACAGCATCCTTTTTGGAATCGGGGTTGTATTAGAATAAAAATTAAACTTCAGCACTAAATTTCCTGTACTCCTCACTGGAGTGTAACTAAACACATGTCACTGTTATTCTTCTACACCGTGTCTCTGGCAACGAAACAAATCATTAACAACAGTCTGTATGTCTGCTGGCCTGTGCCTGCGGCTGATTCCCAAACTTGGCTACTGACCGAAGTGTGTCAAGTGCTACAAGAGGCTAGTGTGTGTACTTGTGAGACTGTGTGTGTGTGTGTGTGTGTGTGTGTGTGTGTGTGTGAGGGAAACAGTGAAAACCAGGAGATCCCAGCTAAGGCGCCTGGTGCTGCTGAGCCACAGGCAGCCTGTTCAAGCCTCCAGTGGGTGAAAGGTTGTAGATATCAGGTGAAACCTGAAGCACCATCAGCTCGCAGGCCCCAGAGGGAAAGGTTACAGGAGGCGGTGCTTAAAGCACCCATTCAAAAAGGCAGGGGATTATCTCCAACAGCGTAATGGAAGCATGGGATTGCATCAGCCAGGAGTGAGATGAGGGCGGGCTCGCCTGCAGGGGGTGTGTCTTTACATGAAGCAACTATTGTCACTTGCAGTTGACTTTTTTTTGTCTGCCTGCCTAACTTCCTTCCTCTTTTACTTACTAGTCCCACATTAAGGCAGATGAGAGCCACCAGTTGCCATGACAACACATTTAATTACAGCTGTGGCAGACATTTGTATGTGGAGAATGAACTATGAGAAGCAAACAGAGTTTTAGGGCAGAGTATCTTCTTGATTTAGTTTACCTGAAAGAGACGAGGCATGTGCAATCCTTTCCATTTTTAAGAGCCACTGCTGGCAGAACACTACAAGCCTTCTTTGAATCCTTTCAAGTCTGACTTAAGCACAAGATTTATATCTCTAAGCATGGTAGAGTGGGGGGAAAAAACACATTAAATGGATTTTCTTCACTGTCAGACTGAACCAAGTGACCTCCATCCTGCCTGTCTGAAGGCACCCGGACGGCGCCTGCGCTTCACTGCCCACTGCCAAGAAAGTGTCTCTACTTCTTGTGGGAGATATCGACAACAATTAAACCGCGTCCCTCCTAAAATTCTACTGCATGCCCCCTCCCCTGCCCCCCATCCCACCAGCTGTTGCATAATTAGGCAATCCAGAAAACTAGAGCCTGGACGTGGTATTTCTCTCTAAGGCTCCAAACTATTCTGCACCCGACTGTTACTTGGCGCAAAGTCTTTAAAGTTCTCCCTGTGATATTTGCACACTTTGGGCTCCTTACTCTTTACCTGTCAGAGGCCTGCACACACATGTACACACTCAGAGTACGTGGACTGACTAGTTTTAGGCAGCCGGATAAATCCAGCCACATCTTGGTTCAACCAGTTAGCAACAAACCAGGGACTAAGATATAAGGCTGCAACTAACAGCTATTTCGATAACTAAATAAACAGTTGATATACTTCAGTTATTCAATTTGGATAAAAAAATTAAAAAAAAGCTATGTTATTATTTCCAGCATTTTATTGCAGAAAGCAAAACTTACTCCTCCTATTCCTTTACAATGCTTGTTACCACTTGCAGATAAAAGAAAGCAAATGAAGTTACAAGAATAGAGATAAAGCCACTGCAATGAAAAAATGAAAAAGATCAAATAAATACAAAAATGGGGATGCAGCCCTGTACTGAAGAGTAAAAGGAAAGTGTAACATTATATACTTGATCACATATCACTCAAGTTTCTGTTGTGAAGAAATAAAGGATTCACTTAATTTGACTGTCTTTGGTTAATGGCATGAAAAATGTCAATACCTCCATAACATTACCTTATACTCCAGTGTCTGTCTGACCTAATTTCAACTAGACTTGAAGTGTTCCTGTTGTCTGTTTTGACAGACAAACACACAATTGCAGGTTAAGTTAAAAAATACAATAAAATAAACTAACTGACGATATATATACATAATGTGGACAGAAATACCTTCTGTCTGTTTTATCTCTGTATAGTGATGGATTAAAATAGCTGGGTGTTACCTTCATGGGACATTAGCTTTAAAAATAACAGGTGCTGAGTGTGAACTAAAACTACATGCAACAGGAAAAAAGTCCCCTTTTCAAGAAAGAACATCAACAGGAAAGTCACTGCATAATTACTTTAAACTAGGCAGCCAAACTCGGCAAAAACAAAGATAAGTTTCACAAACTGTACTTTACTACAAAATAGAAATAAATATGAGATACAGTCACATACGAGTTGGACACTAAAACTGAGGCCATGAATGTAGACATGAGCTCTCTAGTGGTGACACTGACTCTCTGCAGCGTTTCATCTACACTCATGAGACAAAACCACACTGTTTCTGGATGAATCACACAGACTGTGCCCCTTTTCAAAAGTTTACCTATGAAACTTCACATTGTACTTTACTGCACTGTACAACTTTTGGGTTCTCAGGTTGTGAAATATCTCAGGATGGTGATAATCTGCCTCCAGCATGACATGTTTTATTGTCTTTAGGCTTTTTAATTAATCAGAGGACCAAGCCAAGCTGTTTGTACATATGTAACAGAGCTGTAGAGCATGTGGACCAAATAATAAAAACTTGTTACAGAGTGAGAAATGGGAGAGCCTTCATTAATGACTTCATTTGAATTCCAAATGAAGTCACAAATTTAAGCTAACGATGGACGTTTAAGCTAACGCAGAGATAGGACAAACACAGAATATAGTGTGTTGATAGCACACAAGCTAATTTTAATTAGCTAATTAACAAACTAAACTTTTGTTGTAGTGTTTTGCCGTTAATGTTATGTGTAAGGAAAGCAAAGATAGCTCCACTTTTTGTTTCATGTTTAGCAGGATAAGCTAACTGCAAATTCTCAAGGCTAACAAACAAATGAACCCCTTTGTAAGTAGAGAAACAAACTGCTAACATATGGGGCTTAGCAGACAAGTGCTCAAGCTAGCGCTACATAGGAAGGTCTAGATTAAGACTGAAATTTTATGGTAACATAAAGGTGACAGTGTTGCTGTTTAATCAGCCTGTTTGCAGCCGTCTCCAATGGTTTCAGTCTCCAACTGGAGCCTGAGAACTGGGGCATGTTTGACTGCACATTAAGCCCTTTCATTATAGACTAGATCCTGGCAAAGCCCTGTGTGATCTGGCTTCTGTTAGCATCTATCCTTCACATGACTGCACACCCACACACATACACTTTCATGCCTCGACACATGTCTAAACGTACACTCCCACACACACGTTCTCTCCCCTCTCATATAGAACTTCCTGACTGGAGCCAAGGACAGTGGCAGACAAAGCTAACGTTAATCTCTAGCTGGAGGAAGGCAGCGTTGCCCCACAAAATGAAGGTCAGGAGGATTCAAGGCGAGATTCTCAAATGTCAGATGGAAACTTGGCAGAGTGACCATGCAACTGAGTAGTTCTTTTGATGTGATGCCTTACATGTATCCAAGTTCATCAATCTTTTGACCATGTAACAGCAACACCGTTTAATTTACTGCAAGAATAGTGATGGTTAGCTAATTAAACATTCGCAACTCTGCACAGATACACAATTAATCAAATCAGAAATGTACGCACAAATCAACTTTTCCCCCCACACAAACAGCCATTTCAAATGACAAAAAAATGACCAAAAAAGAGACAAAATAACCATACAAAGACACAAACCCTAAGATGATACTAGGGTCCTGCAAAGAGACACAAAATAACTACAAAAATTTGCAAAACAACCACAAAGAGACGCAAAATGACTACAAAGAAACACAAAATGACCGAAAAAGAAACAAAACGAACACAATGAGACACAAAATGACTACAAAGAGACATAAAACAACGAAAGAAAGAGACACAAAAGGACCATGACCGCAAAGAGACAAAACATAATTTCAGAAATGGACCAACCATCCACAAATAGGCAAATACTATAAGTAGATACAAAATGACCATTAACGAAACATAACAGCCACAAAGGGATGGACAATGACCACAAGGTTATGCAAAGGACCAACAAAGAGACACAAAATATTTCCGAAAATAGACTTAACAACCACAAAGAGACTCAAAATGACTATAAAGGGACCAAAAAACCAACCAAAAAAGTAAACAAACTAACAACAAAGACGCACAAAAATATCACATGGTTATGCTAAGGAACTACAAAATGGGCAAAACAACCGCAAATAAACACAAAATGATGACAAAGAGACACACGAAAAGCCCAAAAAGACACAAAACCTCAAACAGATGCAAAACGACTACAAAGAGATGCAAAACTACATCAATGACAACACCAACAAAAAAAGGTAAAGTCATCACGACGTCTGTGTGTCTTGCTCCTGTGTATGAGAAGTGGTGGGTCCTTTTGTTTATCTATGCTCAGGGGCTGACTGTCTCATAAACCACCTATCAGAAAGTAGAGTTCAAAACTGAACCTGACTCATGCTTTGACTCACACCCTTTGATGGGAATCCATACAGGTAAACACAAGCCAAAAACCACTTTTTAACTTGACATTTTTTCTAAGCTTCATTGCTGATTCAAGGCCCACTGGCTCATAGCTTTCTGTTGGCTGCAGTGAGATCTAAACCCCTAACCCCTGGCTGCCTTTCTGCCTTTCACTTTTCACTAAGTTACAATTCACCTCAGCTGCTTTGCGGCATCCCATTTCAGTCTTGTGTTTCTCAGTCCTTATCAAATTTTTATCTCCTCTGTTATCCCAGTCCACCTCCTTTGCTCTTCTCCGTTTCAAATACATTTCAAATGTATTCACTGACAGTAGCAAAGTCAGAGGATTGAGAAGCAGAGATAAAACTGTTGCATATAAAGCTTTCATGTTCTCACATGTGAATAATCAGATTGCGGCAATTCAGAAATGAATGAGGAAACCAGACACATGCATGTAATTGCATGTTTAACCAGAATGGTTAAGACTCATAATATTAAAATAGAAAACTTTCATTGGTATTCTGATTTGAAATTTGGTTCACGGCACAGCCAAAGGAGTTATTAATTCTAAAGAAATCATACCATATTGCTGTGAAATTCTTAGAGGTGTGGTCCATTAGACATAAACCATCCTATCTCTTGAGCACACTGTGAAATTATAACCGTCTACATACAGTGACAAATGAAATCTGGGCAATCCTGTACAATCTGATAGATTTCTCCTTACAGACTGCACTGCAGCAACATTAAAGCAAAATCAAAGGGACACGTCTCTGCGCTATCTGACTCCCTTTCACATTTGGCACGACTCATCCTTGTGAATATTCCTTATATGGCATTAGATGGGATTCATATATTCTTCCATGACCACCATCAAATAATCACTACATTGTTCCTCACTATCTTTGATGCAGATCCAGACGCAGATTTCCAACAATTCTATCTTTAACACAATTCATTTGGAGGATTGTGTGATTGTGCGGCCCTGGCAGTGGTTTGTCTTTCTGTCACCCTCCTCTGCCAGTTCACCCCCCTGTCTCACTGACTCCGCCTCTTTATCTCCCTGAAGGTAGCAGTCAGGGTGAGGGTTTTTCCACTGTCCAGTCTGAGCCTGTAAAGTTCCACTGCAGAGAGAGGGGGATCCTCTCTCACATTCCCATACACAGAAATAACAGCAGTGTCTGTGTGTGTGCGTGCGTGCGTGTATTAGTCAGAAGGATATGAGGGATAATGGGAACACCCAGTGTGAGAAAGTACCAGATTAAAGGCCAAAATGTGACCAAATGTGATGTATCCTGAATGTGTGTGTACATATAATTGTAGATAAGTGTGTATGTTTATTTACTTTAAGTATGTATGAACAAGTGTGTGCTTGTGTGTGTGTCAAGCCATAATATGCGGTCATTGCTGCATCATTTTGTCAGCACTTTACTGACTGAATATCAACAAACTTGCTGCCCCCTGGTGGCTGCCCTCTGTACCTGCAGCCACTTCAGAAATGACTCACAAAGTTGCTTGTCTACATTAAACCAAATGTGTGTGTGTGTGTGTGTGTGTGTGTGTGTGTGTGTGTGTGCCTGGAAGCTAAAACGGGACAAGTAACTTCCTCTGGCCAGCAGTCGTTTTTGTCCCCCTCATGTCAGACAAGGGCCAAGTTAAAATTAGCCCATGAACATATATGGATTGGGAAGGAAGAGGAGAGTGTCTACGTATGTGTGAATGAATGTGACTGAGATAATAAGTTTTGGTAGCTGGTAACCTTTTGATCCCAGCTTAAGAGCAAATGGGGCAACAGACACAAAAAGTAAGAGAGGCTTTAGTGTTAAGATCCAGAAGTGTGTGTGCAGGCATGTGTGCCTGTGTGTTGGTGCAATTAAGAGGTGTGGCCGTTTACAACTTCAGCCTGTGTGCTCTGGGATTTGAGATGACGACAGAAGTCGATTGCCAAACCGAACAGCGTGTTCTGTCTTTCTTTTTTTGCCAAACTGCCAGGAAAGAAACAGCTGCATCCAGAAAATGACAGAAAAAAAGACTGACTCTGCAGCAAACACAAAACACACTCTGTAAGCAGAATGACACAAAGTGGCAGCAATGTTCTACTGAATGAATAGATTTACAAGTAGCTGGCTGGCGTCGGGTGGAAGGCGGTGGTCATGTATTTTAAATTACAAGGGCTGAGTGTGTTTGCTGACGTGAATCAAATTATATCAGTGCCTCAACAGACTCCACTTAATGACACTATGAGGGGGGAGGAGACGGTATTACTGTAATGAACGTCACTGAAAAAGCCATAGAAATTAGCCCATAACATGATACTTTACGACTACTGCTATATGTGCACCCTGCTTGTCCTCAAAGAAGACTGGCTAAAACAAGATTTACTGCCTCACAGTTGTGTGCCGCCACAAACCAGTCAAGTTGCAGTTACAGTTTACAATCACGTCTGTGAAAACATGTATGCTTCACACAAACCTTCCCCTCCGCAGCACAAAAGATCTATACAATCAGCACAGTTTTAAGATAAGTGTCACTGTATCCAACCAAATGTCTCCCCTTCTTATGATATTACGTGACGGCCAGAAAGATGTTTTTGCAGAACATTATGATGTCACAGTGAAGTTGACCTTTGAGCTTTTGGATATAAAATGTCATCACTTCATCATCTCATTTTATGAAGATATTTGTTTAAAATGTTGTCATTATTAGCATATGAATTTTTAAATTATGGCCAAAAACATGTTTTGTGAGGTTAGAGTGACCTTGACCTTTGACCACCAAATTCTGATCAGTTCATTCTTAAGTCCAAGTGGACGTTTGTGCCAAATTTGACGAAATTCCCTCAAGGCATTCTTAAGATATTGTGTTTACGAGAATGGGACGGACGCAAGGTCACAGTGACCTTGACCTTTGACACCAAATTTTTATCAGTTCATTGTTGAGTACAAGTGGACATTTCTGCCAAAGTTGGAGAAACCCTCTAAAGTTCCTGAGATATTGCACTCACAAGAATGAGAGAGATGCAAGGTCACAGCAGTGACCTTGACCATTGACCACCAAAGTCATATCACTTCGTCCTTGACTCAAAGTACATGTTTGTGCCAATTTAAAAACATTCCCTCAGGGCCTTCTTATGATACTGTGTTCAAAATAATGGGATGGACAGATGGGCAACCTGAAAACATAATGCCACTGCTCACAGCTATTGCTGGTACAGAGGCATATAAACATTTTAGAGACAACAAGGGCAGACTGTGTGTTTGTGTATGAGGTACTCACAGGGAACAGGACGATGGGGACAGTCAGGGTGACGGCAGTGAGAACAGCCAAACGCACCAGCAGCAACATGGTGTCAAATTTATACACCTTGGTGAAGGTGTGGAGCAACTCTGCCTCCACGTTGTCTGTGGTGGAGGACAAAGAAAGGATATAAGAATTGTAATAATTTGTGCAAAAAAGATGCAAACTTTTAGAAGAGCAAAAAATACTAATGCCAATGTCAGATTTCCAGGATTTCGAAGGGACATCTGCAAGATTACTAGCCACCTCAACAGTGTTGGTATATTCCTGGGATTTCAAAGCTCTATTTCTGTTCCTGTCCAACTAAACTAGACTTCTATCTCTTATTCTTTTTGTCTAGAATTATGGGGTGCCGTTTGTAAAGTGGCTCACGCTGAAAATAACATCAACATTTTGCCACATTTAGCTTCAAACAATGTTTAAAAAAGTGTTGTGAATTTTTTAACGTCACCTTTTACCACATTTACAGCAATATTTGTTAACTTAGAAATATATTAAATATTGAAATCTAAATATTAAATGTGGCACCTAAATGTTAAATGTTAAATCTAAATATTAAATCTAAATCTAAATCTAAATGCTAAATCTAAATCTAAATATTAAATCTAAATCTAAATGCTAAATCTAAATCTAAATGTTAAATCTAAATATTAAATCTAAATGTTAAATCTAAATATAAATCTAAATGTTAAATCTAAATGCTAAATATAAATAGAAATCTAAATGTTAAATCTAAATGCTAAATATAAATATAAATGTTAAATCTAAATATTAAATCTAAATCTAAATCTAAATGTTAAATCTAAATGCTAAATCTAAATCTAAATATTAAATGTTAAATCTAAATGTTCTGGGTGAAACTAAATATTTAGCTAATATGCAAATTTGCACTGCCGGTCACCGGAAGTACCAAAATAAAAGCTCGAGATGGTCAGACTGCGTTTATAGAATCAAATAACGAATTAAAACCAACTTATCGGGGGAAATGAACACTTGAACATACATTAGCGTGATAATAACAAGAAACATGTTTGGAGAAATTGTATTTGACGTGTACTTTGAGTTGTTAGTGTCCCTTCGGAGGGACTAACAACCTAAGCTAAGCTAACAACCGTTAGCTCTTAGCACCGTTAGCAGTGTCTGTAATGACTCATTAACTCTTAAACGGTCCATGAAAAAAATATTTTTTCCAGCGGATGTCTTAGTTACAACATGATTGAGCTAGCAAAGCAGTTTTGTGTTGCGATGTGTGGTATTTATTCAGTTTTGGGAAATCACGATGTCTAGAAAGCATCAGTGGCTGCAGCAGCAGCAAAGCTAACATCAGGACGTCATCTGTTAAAAGCCTCCCGTTGTCGGATACGACATGAAACTACTCCAGTTAGCTCAATCATGTTGTAACTAAGACATCCGCTGGAAAAAAATATTTTTTTTCACAGACTGTTTAGAGTTAATGAGTCATTACAGACAC